CTGTGCCGGGCTGTTGCGAGGGGGGAGTCAGCAGCTCTTTAAAGGTTTTGACAAATTAGGGGAGCAGCTAATTACCTGGCAAGCTGTGAACAGTTGTCCTGGAGCGATTCGCTCCTCTCTGCCATAGCTGGGCTGTGTTTAGACTTTGCATGCACGAAGCTAATACTCCACTTCCGATTAGTCTTGGCTCTCCTCTGCAGGCACTATTTAGGTAAAGATCTCTGAGGCGCTTTCCCTTTCCTAGAGCGCCTGCTTTTAGAAATCAATTAGGTTAAGCATCTATTACTCGGTTTAAAATTATATATAGTGAGCGGGCTTGAGGGGCTGGGAAGGATTTGGTTTTAGTGGGACGTTTTCCACTTGAACTCATAAGATGGTGGGACCCCAGGACTGGATCCGCTGGGTCCACCTTGGCTGGGGGAAGGTGGATCCCGTTTAGCTGCTTGCCGACTCTCTGGTCAGCTAATTGGGAGCTGGGTGTGCCCCAGCGAAGGCGAGCGGGTTGCTGTGTCCTGCTCACAAGCTCTCAGAGCTCCAGGCTGTTTCAATCCCCCTTGTTTCTTGCCCCATGGCTCAGGGAGGCAGCCGCTGCCTGTGGTGCCCGGGCTCATCTCCCCTCACTGAGCAGCTTTTGGCCTGGCCCGGGCGCGTCTCGTCCGTGGCTGTTGTTGAGCTGCCAGTTCCACTCTTGCAGCCCCCTTGCGCGCTGTGCTGTTCCCCTCTTGGGTCCCAGCAGGGGACGACTCTCCCTCCGTAAGCCATGTCCTGGGCCGGAGGGACGGTCCCAGCCCTGGGAGCAATGCCCTCTCCTGCAGAAGTCAGCCCTGACACCCCGGCTCGGTCCGCCGGCACGTCGGGGTCTGCTGGGGCATCATCCTGCCACGGTTTCGTTCCCTGATGCTCCAGCAGGAGAACTCGGCACCTGATTCCCAAGCGAAGAACACTCATAGGGATACTCCTAGGGGTGACATCCCCCGTTGCCCGCTCCCGCGCAGGTGAGCCTGTGTACTCCTTGTTCTTTTTGCAGTTC